AAAAAATCTCAAGAATTTGAAAATATGATCTCTCAGACCCGCGTACTCGAACATTTAAAAATTCAAAAAATCAGATTTTGAACAACTGCATCATTCAAAAAGAAGAAGGTATTGTGAGTATAATATGCTATGCTTGGTGTATCAGAATCACCCAGTGTATATTATACGAATTTGCGAGTATAAAAATTGTTATTATTATTAAACGGTTTTTTCCTCGTCATCTCTGGTCGAGGCTCTCGCGAGACGGCCAAGGAGCGTTATTTGGTGGCATTTTATTCCAAAACTCGCTCGCGCACGCACACACCCGGTAGTATATTATATTATAAACGTCACGTCATACATACGTCATGTATATGTATCGTATAATATCGGCGGCATATTTATGTATACGTATATGATGTTCCCGTGTGTGTGAGTGTGTTTTTTAAGGCGAGGCGGATAAAAAGTCGGCATATATGCGGTTTGCCAAGCCGCCTCGGGGTGCGTGCGCGTGCGAGTGCGAGTGTCTTCTAGCCGTGGCCTCGATCACACCCCGCTCCGGCGGCCTGCACGGGTCTCCGCGCTTTCTTTTCTTCTACGATATAAGATATAATTATAATAATATAATAATATATAATATCGCGCATGGGCACACGAACACTTTTTTTCTTTACATACGTTATGGAGGTACATATATCAGATACTGCAAAATATATGATATAGAAGTAGGTATAATACCCACCCGCGTGTATTGTATACGAGCGAGCACGCGTCTAATACATTACAATACGCGCGGCGCGAACGCAGAGCATCATAAGCTTCTTCCTCGTCGTAATCGCGCGAGACGAGTACTCCGCAAATATAGAGAGGGGGGCGACATTTGGCGCCGCGGTTTCGAGCAGGAGACAAATTACATCGTTGTTCGAATCACCAGAACATCACGTGATTGGACATTTAAAAGTCAAGAAAGCTGCTGGTCGAAATTTAAAAAAAACAATGCGAACAAATGATCGTGATAATATATAGTTTAATAAGTAATATATAATATATAGTTTAATAAGTAATATATAATATATACCTATTATACGTACCTAGATTTTTCTCTTTGTTGTCCGCATATCTTTAAGTATAGCGATACTATGATTTAAAATTGTATATAATTAAATGTCAATATTTTGACAGCTCTACAACGTTTGTAATATTAAAAACTGTAGTCTCCATGATGTATAATATGTATATATATATATATAGGTACGAGGATTAATAATGGCTTTAAACGTTTGACCCGCAATTTTACAAGCCGCCGTATTATTAAACGCATATAATTTCGAGTTTATCGATTGCAAACAAATTGTTCAATTTTCTATACGAAAAAAACCACAACGGAATTGAGCTATTTATCTTATTACTTAATAACCGTAAAAGGATGATGATACAGAAATGGTTTATATACATTTATCTAAAATTGGCCAGTGATGAAATTCGTACGAGAATAATTAGCTCATAACTATAAGAAGTTTATGTACATATTATTATGTGTATATACCTTCTGTATGTGCACGTTATAAGATTTTTTTTAATTAGACATTAAATATCAAAGAAGCAGGATGTATATATATATTATATAATATATATAGAGGTGTGTATACATTATGTGTTATTATTATGTTTTTAGCTATTCGTTGGACTCGAGTGTGGGTGGTATGTATATATGTATATTGTGTGTATAATTGTGTACAGCAAAAAAATTTAAAAACACAAAATAACAGCAATTTAACTCTTAATGCATAATACACGAGATAATGCATATTATACGAATGACGATTACGTCTATATTATAACGTTTAGTTCGAATACGAGCGATTTTCAACGCCCACATTGAAACTATCAATATATAATGAATGATGACGAACGATATAAATGCCAAAAGTAAGATTTTGTACGTTTAAGTTTGATAACTCTGTAATCTTGTCCGTATACTAGGACGATGACGATAGTCGATGAACCCTAGGCGTACAATAATTTATAATATATTATAAATCTATAACACACAGACGAAAATAAACATTGGTCTTTAATCTGTGTATAACTCTTGTAGTCATATTTGCAGATGCCATGGATAGAGGCGATCTTGATTCTTGGGGATAGATAATAATATTTATTATTAGGACATTGGTACTTAAGTACTTATTTGTGAACGTGCTTTTGTTTCGCAAAGAAGTTAAACACGTCATATCAGCAAGGAGGTGGCCCAAACGAGCAAAAAAACGTGTCGATTTAAATTAAAAATTATCAACCTGAGCTATTCGTTACGTTGCTAAATATGTAATAAAATCAAAGTACACCATTAAGTATAATAAAATTGAGACTTTGGCGTAATTTACAAGTTAACAATAAATTTTAATTGAGCTTCTTTGTTTTCAAAGTTTCAATGTATATAATAAGTAGGTAGGTCGCGACTTTCAGACACATTCACACATGCGAAAAGTAACGGGAAAACTGACCATGACATTAGATAACGATGCTATATTGTGATGAAGCCGGTCTCATTGTTAACGATGTAACAAAATAATATTAATACATCAATTGCGCACATTTTAAGTTTATACTAAGTTTTAGATTCTAACGTGTGTTAAGAATATAGACGATAACCACATTTCAATAAACGTGTTCCGATTATATAAAGTAATATGCATTATAAAATTGATAACAAGTAACCATTAATAATACATAATAGATAGAGTATGTTTTTTTTAAACAAAAGTTTAAAGTTTATACCAACGAGTTAATTGATGCCGGGTAATTAAGCAGCTCGCATTTATCTGCATGTATATAGTACTATAATATACCTATTACCTATGTTATTAATATCAGTACCTATAGTATAAATTATAATCACGGTTATCTGTGATTGACAATTTTATTGTTCAAGTTCAAAAATAATTACTAATCAAATCAATTATTACCTGTTGGCTATTGGTATAAAACATTATTTGTTCGTTTACCTTGGCACCACACAGTATATAATACTATATATAGGTGTATAATATATTATAGTGATTGTAAAGCATATCACTTAATGCTTGATTATTTTTATTAATGCATCTTATAATAATTAAGTGTATATATTTAATATTTTATGCAATATAAGAATTAAGTTGGATCTTGAATATAAAATAAAAATAATCAGTCCGAAACGGTAGTAAAGAAACACAATTTGAACTTGTGACGGTGATAGCGAAAAATGTAATAGATTTAAGAAAACCAATGTCAATAACCGCGCTGAACATAAGCACACAAATATCTATATTTATCGATATTCGTAATTCATAGAACAAGTCGAAATACTATTTAAATTGATTTGAGTCGTATATTATAATAACGATTAAACTTTAAATACATAGATAAACATTATCAAGTTTTCTGTTTTATATTAACAACAATTATTATTTATTTTACAGCTGATATAGTTCAACGATAACGCTTTACAAAGTATTAGACTGTTGACACATACAGTCATATGTTGTGTTTTGCTAAGATATAAAAAATACTGCGAAGTAGAGAAAATTTGTGTACGATCGACGTTTTTTTTTAATTTTTTTAATATGTTATACAATTATACAACTACGTTTTTGAAATCGGAGTTGAAATATTTTTTTAGAGGATACGAAAACAGACGCGTTATACTGCAGATATACACCTACATTCCCAGGTTGCAACTATACTTTATAATATTATTGTCCGTCTGAATTCTTAAAATAATAAATGAAACCAAAACTCGGCACATACTCGACGGTCTTGGAGAAGAGGGGATTTCGGCAATTCGTCTCCATCAAAGTTCAAAACCGTTACGTTCGTTGAAATCTATTATACTGCCTTTTTCCAATTTTTTGGAGACGTATAAATAACAAATTGTGATGCGTGGTTCGCACCGTTTTGTCGGGGTGTAATCATAGTCGGGTCTGGATATACCTACACGGCTACACGAGCAATATACCTTGGCGGCTGTGTATAATACTATAATATGTCGGTATACTCCCTCCTGAACGTATATTTGTATATTATGTTTAAACATAAGCAATACATTAACGGACTGCGCAGTAACGAAATCGTTAAGAGTACCACTACTCTACGACTGGGTGGTATAAAAATATCGCGAAAACAAGTCTCTCACCCGCACGTACATACCCACCGTATATACCTATGTATTATATTAATTGTTATACTATATTATAAACCTGCAATAGCGGTGCATTAACTGTAATAATAATAATAATCAATGATACACAACGTCGGTCCAGTAGCGACGTCACACTCATATCATTAAATAGGCGAGATTTAGAGGAGAGGCTCGGCAGTACTTAGAACCCCTAATTCTGAAATCGGCACACTCACAGACTTTTCTCGCTTGACGTTAATTAGTTCTTATCTTTTTATATTATGTTAATAATAGTATTATTGTGTGCTGCAACAAAGTCATTATCTAATACATAATAATGTGTGATTATCGATAGGGGCTTGGGGGGGGGGGTCGATGGTTCTCGTCGTGTGTAGTCCGTAATCTGGAAAATGACTAAAAAATAGGAGCTCCAGCATCCCGGGTTTTAATCTGTAAAATACCCCTGCAAATCGTTATCTCGATGATAATGCTTCACACCTATATAAATAGTTCACAGACACAGTACACACAATATATCGTACGCGATGTTAACGCGCAAAAGAAAAGGGTTCGGCCGTGGGTCGCGCGACGACGCTTTAGTCTGGCGCGCCCGTTTAAATATAGACCGGCGGCGTCGCGCGTCTGGACACCGCGGTCGCCAAAATAACCGCGTCTCGGCGGCGGGGAAACGCTTTATACGGGGACGGGCTCGACCGGCCAAAGGGAAACCGTCGACGGCGGGCGATGGAGGAACCGCTCATGGGCGGGGGAGTGGGTGTAGCGATGATGGCGGCTTGAAGCTGAGAAGAGGGGTGGGGAGGGAGGGAAGATAAAAAGACTAGAAGCGGCACGCCGCACTCACTTCAAATAGTAAATCTGTCCCTCGGGCGTCCGGGCCTGTTCCCATCCTTGTGGCAGTGGACCCAACTCGTCGATGGCACTGGACACGTCGTAGCTGCGCTGCTTGGCGTGCTGTTGCTGCTGCTTGGCCGCTCCGACGGCGTACGTCTGCTGCAACGAGGCTGGCGAGCTGTGCGCGCGAGAGTGTAATGGAACCGGGCCCGAACACGACGGTCCCACATTAGTGCCGAACGCCGAGTCACCCGAATTTTCACGGCTGTGCGATATGGACGGCGACTTGGAGCCCGACGATGGAGGGGTGAAGAACGACTTGGGCAGCTGTCGCATGCGTAAAGGTAACTGGAGCGGCTTTTTGCCATCCGGCTTCAGAACCGTGTCGAACAGCGCCTGTAAGTCTGTTTCCGAGTTCTGGTCCACCCGGACTACCAGGTTGCTGTTGACGGCCGGCGTAGGGCTGCTCGGTCCCGTCGGTTCCATTTTGATGCTGACCTGTTGGTGCTGTTCCTGTTGCTGCTGCTGTAAGCCGGACATACTGACGTCTTCGGTGCGGCGCAGGTCGTGTTAAGTCGATCAGCTGCAGCCGCCTCTGGTGCACATCAAGGTGTATGGTGTTTCCGATGCACAGGTATACCGGCCACGGAGGAGTATGTTATTAGATCGAATTATGTAAAATTGGTGGCAGCAATAATTACGATAAAATATCAACAAGAATAACAATAATAATAACAACAACAACAACAACAACCAACAATAACAAAAACGCCTTCTTCCACAACGTCCGTTTTTCACCTGCAGTCGCCGAGGTTATAATTTAGTTCTATACCATTTATTTTACTATCGACTACTCGGTCACGTTTCTAACGAATATTAATTTTGTCTATTGTAAGTACGCTGATATCGGAGTGTACGTTTTTATTATTCTCGACAACGTCACAAACGCGCATTCACCGACGGGCTCGGACGGACCGAACACAAACGCGTTCACTCCAAAACTGTCTAGCGAGTAGCAACTGGCTGGCGCAACTAGTATCAGCGCGAGCTGCACGCACGCACCGCACAAGCGGGCCGCGCCGTCTAAGCGGTGGGGACTCCTCGACACGTCGGGCGCAGTGTAACCGCATACCGGCACGCGGCCCGCGCCGCTCATGCCATCCGGCCGCCGCCGTTTTGGACGCACTGCCCCGGTGTAAGGATCCGCACCGCGCGAGTGTAGTGTGAACGATAACGTTCTACGAGGTTTGATTCATCGGCCCTGCCGCTCGGCGTTCCACTGCACCGGTGCGGGGCGCGCGTGCGATTCACACCGTCCAGCCGCGTACGACGGCGGCGGTGACGACGCTAAAGAGAGGTCATTCATAAACGAACGGCGGCGGATTTCGTCCAATTACACGAGAGCCGCGTACTGCTGCTGCAGTTGTTAAACGTATACAATATAAATTACGTCATTGCACTTTATTTATTTGGTTTTTTTCCCCGCGCGTGTGCATGTCCGGTGTTTTACAGTCGATCTGTGCGCGTGCGGTTCCATTCGGAAGTCTTCAAAAGCAATTTTTTTTTTTTAATTTCTATTTCCCTACATCCACCCAGTGCAATACATCCGTTAGACATTATGCTCGACACGTATATTATTTTTTATCCTTGCAATATTCATTATTTTATATTATATATGCGTCTACACTACCTACCTATGATAGGCGTATAGACATAACTAGATCTTACATTTTAGAAGTGCGAAAATTATACGAATCTTACGACACATATCACTTTAATCATTTATTCAAAATACTTTTAATGATTCTAATAATAATATCTAGGTTAAAGCAATTATTATCCTGTCTTCAGTTGCAAATGAGTTGATAATATCTTCAGCTTTTGATTAATTTGTTAAATATTTTTCAGTACTTGACAGTGGTAAGTTTGAAAATCGTTCTGCTTTAATCATACCATAGTCTGTACTACTCTGTAATCATTTTTTTATTCGTCGAATCAAAAAAATTAATGCACTGCCATGAGTATATAACTAATCTAATTATAAGGAGGTGCTAACAAAATATCTGAAGGTGTTGAGCACCCTCTGGCCACCACCTAGTTAGTTTATGCCTGTATATGTGTTTAGACCTACCTGCGCATATCTTATCATCGGACAATGATCCCCGATTAAATTATTGTAAATCGATTGCGCCATACCATAATATTGAATAAATATCATACCTATTCCATATGAGATAATCTACACTTTATACAATTAATAGACTTAAATAATATTATATATAGTTCATCAAACCACGTGGGCTCGTTTCCCGTGACCGTCGATTGACACGCATCGTTGCAGTAATCGGAGATTTTGTAATACGATTATTCGAAAATTAACCTTCGTTTAAGAACTACAGTTCTGATCGATGATCAAAGCTAACAACGGATGGTGTAAGTAGACAAGTATAATTATGCCTATATATAGTAGGTATAATATATTATGGTTATATAGCAGTCGTCGTCTCGTGTATGTCCGTGTCGAGGAAATCTAAGATGCGTGCAGACGCTGCAGACTTTATACTAATTATTAATTATTAAACATGCACCTAAACGAATCAGATATTCGAGTAATATTATGTCCCGTATATAGTAACCGATGCCTGCGTCGATATAAAGAAGCTCGAGACGTTTTTAAGGCGTTGTGTGAAATTTGTAGTACAAACAATATAAGTAATAATATATCACCTGCGAACGTATAGAGATATATTATTTATACATAAATGGGTAATCTGGTAATCCTCAGACCCAACAAACATGGAGTTTCTTTGAGTTAGGTAGGTACCTACGCCGCGGCTCATTCCTACATACGTATTAACCTCTAGGTGTATATAAGTGTATATATAGTATTATATTTTTTTGAATAAAGGTACACATTCTACACGTTATATTCACTCAAGGTCGTGGGTGGATCAGTTTTTTGGGAAGGGTTTTGTATTTTACATCATTGTATACTGTAAACGAATGACTGTAATACATTGTATAGGTATATAGAGGTAAAGGTATTTCGGTATATTTGGTAAAGTGAAATATGTCGATGATACACAATGTTGAAATTTAAAACCATTGAATATTTATGAATATTTACTCAATTATTACTGTGGTAGTATAAAACATAATATAATGTTGACAATAATACAAATATATAGGTTACTATATTCTGACACACGTTAAAAAACCTTTAGCTAAGTCTCCAGGATTATTGTTTTTTGAAGCATAACAAAATGACTAAAACTAATTCCGTTCAAAAAAAAAAGTATACTTATGTTACCTATATTGTTTCGCTTAAAATCTAATACGAAATACAGTTAAATAATATAATATGGTTTGCCACAGCACTCGTCGGAGATTAAGTTTTTAGTGATACCCTGCAGTTGTGCTCTTGTGCATTTGGACATGTCACTCGAATGGTAAAGTTGGACTGTTGGAGATATATGCTGTACACACTACGAGTACCTACCTGTTTTAAATATGAGATTTAGTACGTTAATCATTACATTCCAAAAATAATGCTTAACGGATCTCATTATCTTTAAATCTTTACAATAGTATGGATGTATGAGGCAATAATTATTTTCGTGGTTAAGTTAAAAAAAAAAATTCAACCATATACCTAGGAATATACTTCATTATAATTCAATTTCAAGAAAAAAAAATATATTTTGAATTTTCATTATAATCAGTAAAAAAGTAAGAAATTCACAACTAGGTATTTTATAAATTTGGCTATCAATATTTAAAACCATAATCACTTATTCGCCTATAATCGTTTACCTATACTGATTAGAAGGGAATATAAGTATATCATATATTTATACGATTAAAACTTGAAATATATTATATTATAAACCAAAATATAAAATATAAATCTGATATATTTTTGTCTTTATTGTTTTTTTGATTTATATTGTTTTTATAATGACTAAAATATGTAGATTTTAAATTTATTTATGGTATTAATAACACAATATTATCTTGTATCTATACCTACTTAATGTGCCTAAACACCATGGATATTAATAAACGATTTAAACAGGTAAAAACATAATAAAAGACCCAACTTTTGAGGTTTTATAATACTTTTGGGTATAATAAAAATTTAATCACATTTAAAATAGTTTAAATATTATATTAAAATAATTAAATAGATATAAAATGATCATTGTCTTGTAAAAGACAATAATATTGGGTAAAAAAAAGGTACCTACTTGTTGAAATTGCCAAATAACAAAACGACATTCATGTAAATTAATATATGATAATATAATATATAATTTATAATATTTATTGTAGGTACCTAGGTATATAATTGGTTATTTTTTCTAGGTATCTACCTATAATTACATAAAATAATGATATATAGTAACTTAGTTATTGAAATAATGCATTTCGACGTGAACTAACTCACAATCAATGGTAACGGGTTTTCTTTTCATATACATAATGTATTATAATACATAAATACATAATATTATATGGACATATAATACTGCAGTAAACCTACCTACCCATAATTATGTATTGTTTTCCAAATTTAATCGACTAAAAAAAAAAAACTGCACGTATAGTGCATCTACATAATACAGGAAGTAGACTAAGTAGGAAGTTATTAACCCACTTGGTTTGTTCACTTTTTGCAAGTGTATCCGGCTACTGATAAAGTACCGGATGAATATTAATAAGAATTTTCACCGCAACACCACGACGACGATGGCGTGTGGGTATATTTCCAGGCGAGCTACAAAGAGCTGAAGATGCGCTACTCTTTTTCGGTGGATTAACAAAAAACAAAATATTTCAGGGAATAAAATATATTTCTTAATGTACTGCTCCGAATTGAGTAGGAGTACTTACCTATACCTATATTTTGTTCACCACATTATTCTTAGCAATTTATCATTATGTCAAAACCAATGAAATAATGACATCATGATTATTATGTCAACCGATTAGTAGGTACTAAATATAAATTGTTTTTATGTCTTATAAATTCTATTTGTCACAAGTATTAATATTTAACAATGATAAAAAGTGTATACAAATTGAATTATGAGCTAATGCGATGATGTGATCAATTCACTGAGAAATAAGAATATTGCAAGGTTCATAAAATATCTAACTATTATGGCAGGTAGGTAGGTACTCACATTATATTATATGT